CATAGTGCCCAATATTTTGCTACAGGTTTTGTTTTATTCACTTCACTTAATTTACTAGTAGACCAAGGGTGGAGAACTTCTGGCCCACAGGCCTGATTTGGTTCTCAGTGGGAGAGTGTTCTGTGGACTGTGAGGATTTCCCCTTTGGGGCACTGTTATGACCATCTCATTCACCACAAGCCTCTCTGAAGAGTTATTAGTAAGCTAATCATAATTTTAAAAGGTAGCAGTAACTTGCTCACACTCTCACAACCCAGATGAATAGCAAGGCACAGTTTACCTCCCTGTAAAACCTTAAACCTATTTTTAAAAAGGCCAGATTTTTCCTGCTGACCCCTGTCCCTCTGGCCTACCTTTTCCTCTAGCCCCTATCTTCCTTTGACTCTTTCTTCCTTACCACTCTTCATCTAACCCCATTGTCTTCCCCTTAGACTGGGAGCTCTCTGAGATGCCTTTTTTTCCTATTTGCCTTTCTTAGTATTCCCACTGTGTAGCACATAGTAGGCACTTAAATGCTTGTTGATTTGATTCTACTGTGACCATCCTTTAATTGGCTGCAATATGGAACTGAAATGCATTCTGTAGTATTTGTTGATTTATGAAATAGTTTTATATGCGTACCATAATCTTGTTTTTTAAAAGATGAGCAGAATGTCATTTTTCCTAAGAAAAAGTCATTTTTTTCACTTGTGTGGTTCTTAATTGTTTTTTGTCCTATAGATTTAGTGACCTTAAATAGAAGAGGGGAAAAAAAAATCTACTCATACATTTAGACCATTTATACAAAGAGCATTTCATTTTGAATTTTACATTCTGCAGGCTGACTTGTTTTCCTATGGATAGCAACCCATTGGAAGTGGATAGTGTATTAATGTTTTAATTGTTCTTCAGCTGTCCTTTCTGAGTGTACCACCTTTCCCCTCCCCGAGTATCTGAACAGTTTACAGTAGACTCTCAAATGTTTTTTAATTGAAAAACTGACTAGCAGCTTAGAACAGTAGATAGGGTCAAATGAGATAATATTTGCAAAGTGCTTTGTAAACCTTAAAGTGCTATGTAAATGTTAAAACTAGTGTTATTAGCAGGATAATCTGTAAGCAAGAATTTAAGACTACCTAGTGCTTAGCATAGTGCTTAGCAAATAGTAGGCACTAAATAAATGTTTATTGAATGATTTCTGTATTCTCACATTAAAGGATTATCTGTATTCCTTTGCATTTATCAGGTGCCAAGATTTATAGTAAAATTTAATTAGTTCAGTAGTTTAATAATTTCTTTTTTTCTTCCCTTTAAAATCACTATGGGAACCTTTCAGAATGATTACAAATGAAATTGTTCTTTCATTAGCATTAGGAAGGACCCATCAGCTCACCAACTCCTCTCCTTCCTTGATCAATAAGGTTAATGCTGAAGGATAGCAATGAGTAGTTGTTTTGACATCAAACATTTGGTTAGGCTGTTGTAGGAATTCCAGAAGACCTAAGTGAATGGTGCCATTTAATGAGCAGGCAAAAGCTAGTGAAACAGCTGCACCCTCTTGCACTCTGATCTGGAAAACACAGAATTCAGTTTCAAGTTAAGTTACAAGAGACTTAAATCCTTACTGCTTTGCAGGATTTTAATGGTAAACTAGCATCCCATTCTGGGCATTTCCCAGTTCTTTCTCCCATGGACACAAATAGATACATCCATGGTAATAGTATCTTTTCTACATGGGTACTCACAAGCAAATCACAAGCCAGGTTGGGGGGGAGGAGATGACTGGGAAATCCATTGTTATAGATAGATTTATTAAGTGCTTACTCTGTGCCAGGTACTATACTAAGCACTGGGCATACACATATAAACAAGCAAGACAGTCTCTTCTATCCAAGAACTTATATTTTAATGGGGGAAGGATAATGGAAGTGAAGGGGAGGGAAACTGCATAGAGGCATGGTGAGGAGAGAGCTGGGAAGTTGCATGGGGGCCTAGGCTCCAGCAAGGCAGCTCACTAGTTGCCTGTCAGGGCTAGGGGATCCAGGGACTGAGATCAAATGGGTTGAAGATGGTGGCCAGGGGTAGGCACTTAATAAAATAATTAGATGATAGAATACTCTATTTTATTTGTTTTTTTTAATGTTACCTTTTTCAACACGTGAAATAAATGAACTGCATAGTGCCCCATCTCTATAATTTATCTAATTTCATTGAGTGATCAATTTTGGGAAAGGCACTACTGGGTGGTGGGACTCTTTTCAGTAGGTCTCCATTGGTAATAATGAGCAAGTATTCACAAGTGAAATTGAATGTCATTGTTTTTCACTGACATTTACCTAGCCTAATGGTTTCCTCATTTTATTAAGAAAATGAAGAAGTCAATATTCTATGACTGTTACCTGCAGTCACAGACTACAGTGAAAATTATAGAGAACAAAGTGGCCACAGAGCCATGACTTTAGATGTAATTTTCTTCAGAGAATGTATGTACTATTTTCACCCTAAGACTGAGAAATTGAGCGTGATTTAATAGAAAGGAGAGAGAGATCTCTCAAGCAGAAGTTCTGAACCAGCAGATGAGAATCTGCCCCTAGGTTCTGAAGCCTTTCTTGCATGGGAGGACTTCAAGATGGTTGCCAAACTTCCTTCTCTGCACACTCCCCTCTCCAGTTTACTGGGCTTCCCAATACGGAATGGATGACAGCCAGATGTAGCACCCACACCTCTGTTTTGCTGAAGAACTTTACTGTCAGCCCTACCCTTTCCTTCACAACTAGCTGGTATGATAAGGTGCTATTTACCTCCCCATTTTACAAAGGAAGTAACAGAACCCAGAAGAGGTTAAATGACTTGCCTAAGGTCATACAGCTAGTGCCTGAGGAAGATTCAAATTTGAGTCTTCCTAACTCCAGTTTCAGTGCTCTGTGTACATATCAGGAATTTAGTAAGTGCTTGTTGATTGATTATGTGGTCACAAAGCATTATTGCTCGTGCCAAAATGGACCCCTTTTCCCCAAAGCAACTGCTCACATCTTAATGCTTTATGACCTCAACATAGTGAAAGGATTATTGTTTCATAGTTGCCTGTCTTGAACTGCCTACCAATCTCAGTCTCCTCTCTGTTATTTTTTTGTTTTGGTTACAGGGTGGTGGCAGGATCTCCTTTAGCTTACTGGCTACTTTGGTCACATGCCCTTCAGGCCCTATTCATATCTAAAACTTGAATTCTAAAAGCTGTGAATAGTGCCTGGTTTTTCTGTGTTGCAAGGAAGGAAAGTATTATTTTTTCAAAGAATGGGATAGTCCCCTTCATATCAGGGATGAACCTTCCTGAGTGATGGAGCCCTTCCTACCTGAATGACCTCTTTAATTATTATCTAACTGAAGTAAAAAAAAAAAAGAAAGAAAGAGAACAAGGTTAACTGGAAGAATTTTATCTTGCATTTCTCCAAAGGAAGAGACTGAGGCAGAAAATGGCAAGCTGTGTGCAGTGCATTGCAGGAGATATCCAAGTTAGAACTCAAGTCACCAGATGAATGCTCATAGGAAAAACAACAACAACAACAAGAACAACAACAACAACTGAAGGACAAACTCCTTGGCCAGAGGAGGAGGTGAAGAGTGAGCCGAACAATGGATTAAGCAGCAACTAAGGAGAATGGTAGGATCTAGGATTTGAGATAGGTGAAGACACGCCTTTTTTTTAGAAGTGCCCTGGTTAGTGGACAAGAGAACGGTTGGGAGATTGAATTGTAGATAGACCAGAGTATGCAAGGTGAAACGTCTCTTTGTATATACATATATGTATTTCTGTGCAAATATATGTATATATTTATATACACATGTGCATACATAGAAATATATATTTGCCATGAGGATGAAGGACTCAAATTTGAGAACAAGCTATGAAGCCCTGACTTTCAAAAAGACGGTTTAATAATGTAAGGTAAATACAAGCCTAACCTTCCAGGAGAACCGCCTAAAGTTATTATATAAAGTAAATGCAGTTAATCATTTTTTGTAAGGGCTGTTATACTCATACACTTCTCCCCTACCTCCTTCAATCCCACACCCCATCAGCGCCTCAGAGAGACTCAATAGCTGGGGGTAAGAAGGAAAAAAAAAAAAGAAAAAAAAAACGGGAGGACTTCTGACTGCAATCCCAGCACGTCACTTTGTTGGAGGCAAACACGTGGTGCGAGGAGAACTTATAAATCTCCCCTCCCCGGCAAGATCGTGATGTTATCTGCTGGCAAAAGTTTCCCTCTGAGCTGAGCTAAAGGAGGAGAGAGAGAGAGAGAGAGAGAGAGAGAGAGAGAGAGAGAGAGAGAGGGAGAGAGAGAGAGAGAGAGAGAGAGAGAGAGAGAGAGAGAGATGGAGAACAGAGTATAACGGTCTTCCAATCCATTCAGGAAAGAAACAGGGGTTGTCTGGTAGAAAAGGAGAGAAAAGAAAGCGGGAGAGACTGTTTGGCTTTCCGGGTGGCAAGTGCTGGAAAAGAACACAAGGAAGATTGGTCAAGCGGGCCAAAGACTGAGAGAGGTTGGGGAAAGGGGGGAGGTGGGAGTCCAAGGGAGCGAGCAAGGAACCCACCGAAAACAACCCCCACGCCCCTTAGGAATAAAGTATCTCCCCCACCAGTCCTTCCAAGTCACTGCGTTTGCCGGCGGCCAGGAGGGGAAGACAGCGGCGGCGGCGGCGGCAGCGGCGGTGAAGGCAGCGTTGGCGGCGGCGGCCCGGGCAGTGGCTTGTTTGTAGCTGGGTTACAGTTTGGTTTGGAAGAGCAGAAGGAGAAGGAGGAGGAGAAGGAGGAGGAGGAGGCGCTTGAAGGCAGCACCGGCGGCTGCAGCTACAAAAAGTAACCCGGGCGGGGTTGGTGCACGCGGCCCGGGGTGCATGCAACAGCTTGCGGCACCCGGAGCGAAGATCGTCGCCGCCTTTGCTGCCCGCTACGGACAAGGACGGAGCGGGGTGGGAAGCGAAGCGCACCCCGCCTCCCCTCGGTGTCTCGGGCTCTCCCCCAACACACACGCGCGCGCGCGCGTACACACACACACACACACACACACACACACACACACACACACACACACACGTGTGCGATTCTCGGCTGCTCCTCCAGCCGCGGTGTCTGTCTTCTCTCGCAGAGACATCGGCGCCCGCCGTGGAAGTGGGGAGAGCTGCTGCTTGTTCTCTACCCCCCCCTTTTTTGATTTTTATTTTTAATCTCTCTTCCCCCTTCCCAATACCCATAGCATCCTGGAGCACCCCTTTCTGTCGGGTTGCTAGCTGCCAATCCTGGGGCCTCTCCATCTCTCTCCCCACTTTGGCTGCAGGAGACCAGTTCAGGTTAGCCCCTTGGGGCTGAACACTGACACACTGAACCCCGCGTCCTTCGGCTCAATGATTTCTGCCTAAGAGACTTTTTCCTTTTTTTCCCCGTCTCCTTGCCCTCGCCCCACCAAAAAAAAAAAAAAAAAAAAAAAAATCCAGAATTCCCCCTCACTCACCCAATTACCCAGCCCATATTTATGCTGCCACCCTTCTGAGCACTCACATTTTCTCTTTTTTAGACAATTTGAGAGATCAATTGGTCATTATTTTTGGTTTGTTTGCCAAGTTACATACTTGATCTGATTTTTTTTTCTTTAATTCCCATCTATTCTCTATTTTGAGGATTTACCCCCTTTTTAACTCCCCCCTTCCGATTCTTAAAAAAAAAAAAATGCACTACTATCTCCTAAGCGTTTTCCTGACCCTGGATCTGGTCACCGTGGCGCTGAGCCTCTCTACCTGCAGCACACTCGACATGGATCAGTTCATGCGCAAGAGGATCGAGGCGATCCGGGGCCAGATCCTCAGCAAGCTGAAGCTCACCAGTCCCCCTGAAGAATACCCCGAACCCGAGGAGGTCCCCCCGGAGGTGATCTCCATTTACAACAGCACCAGGGACTTGCTCCAGGAGAAAGCCAACCGGAGGGCAGCGGCTTGCGAGAGGGAGAGGAGCGACGAGGAGTACTATGCCAAAGAGGTTTACAAAATAGACATGCCCTACTACTCGGAAAGTAAGTGCTGCGTTTATTCTTCTCGAGTCCCTAGGATCTGGCGGTGCCCGGCGCTTTCCAAACTCCCTCTATCGTCTTCTCCTCTCCGAGTTCCATCTCAGCTCAAGCTATCTTCCCCCCATTACCTCCTCTTCCCCCACCCTTCCCTGCCCAACGATCCTTTAGAGTTGTGCTCGAGGCAATTTCTTTGTACCTTTACTTTCTGTTTTTCTCCTTTCCCCTCCCTCTTCTCTTCCCTCCTTTTCCTCCCAATCTCCCTCAGCTGCGCTCTTCTTTTTTCCCCTTCCCTGAAAATTCATCACACGGTCCATTGGCAAGGAGGCAGCCCTCCTCAGCAACCTACGATCCTCTCCCCAGGGGCAGAGCTGACTGCAGAAATCTTGGTAGGTTTATTTTCTTTGAGCGGAAGGTTTGTTACCACATCGGTTCTTGAATGGTTAAAAAAAAAAAATTGGGGGGGGGAGAGGGCGAAAATTTGCCTCTTCTCCCCATCCCCCGCCCCATCGCTGGTCTGACTGCATATTTCTGATTCCGTCTCCAATGTATCAATGTTTAAAAATTATATCTACAAAAAAATACATCTACCAAAAAAAAAAAACCCAACAGATATCAGTTTAAACTTTGTATTTGACTTCCTCAATCCCTAATGCATCCCTTACCACCAGAAAATGAATTCACGTCCCCCCCACCCTCATTCCCCCTCCAAAATCTTGTAATTTCACTTTTTGGACTTTCATTCATAAGGAAATGGGAACTTTTTTCAGTACTTGAGTTTTAAGTTGTCTTTCCCCCTAAATTGAGTGCAGCCTGACCTCTCTTCCCTTGCCACTTACACTCATTTGGTCTTATTGTTTGCTTAATGGTTTAGTAGAAAATTCCATTTTTCTTAATAGGTTTGTAACAAATCCTCTCTTTTCAACCTTTGTTGCCTGTGCTAACTCCCTTTTCCTTTGCTCTCGGCAGTTGTTTTGATGATGCATTCCTAAATCTAAGAGGGAGTAAAAGAGCCCTCCCTGCTCCTAGACTGTGCAGGGTTGCCATATCCTCAAATCCATCTGGCATACAGTAGTGACTGGAGTGAAATGATTTATTGTGGAGTTCTTTGGTGGGGGGGGCGGGGAGAAGAAGGGAATGGAGCAGTTAGCTTGAAATGGATTCAGAGCGCTTCTTTAAAAATGCCTCCTGTGATACCTGAGAGGGTTAAATACCAGGAAGAAGCAAGGGGGGGGGGGGTCCTTCAACATTACTGTATTCCAAATCCCAATCCCTTTCCGTTTCATTGGCTACCCATTTCTCTCCTCCCCTTTCCATGCCCTATATACTTGTTGGCCGCTTTTGCAAAGTCTCTGTGTCTTGCCTAAATAGATAATACAGCCATCTTGGTAACTTTATCCAAGAGTTTCTAATTGCAGGGTGGTGCATTTTTAAATATATTTATTTTTAGTTTAACAAGTCGCTGCTTTGTGGCTTGTCATGTCTTGTAGGTGATGGTCTCAGAATGACAGCCAGTGTGTCTGAACCTCAGCCTTTTCGGCAGCCTTTCTTCTGCCGCTGTTGTCTCTTTTATTGTGAAATGACAACATAAGGTTCGGGACACTCTGGCAAGCAGGATGATTTTATTATTGTAATTATGGCACCCTCTAACAACAGCTGTGAGGAATAAGCGCCACCCTTGTTATCCCCAGGGAAATAAGCCTTTTTTACTTGAGTTGGAGCCAACGGGATATTCGGGAAGCAATGGCATTGCAAGCTGCAGCAATACCAGGGAGACTGAGTGAGGAATCAGGCTAGCTTTCTTTTTCTGGCACGTGCAGCAGCCCTGCTGGTACTTGGGTGGACAGACGAGCACACTGTCTGGTGCCTGAACAGGTCGTGCTTTAGGCGTTTAGCAACGAACGCGAAAATAAATTGCTCTCAATTCTTGGACACGTCTGTAACCTGTAACCAATTATTTTGGAGATACCAGGTTATCTAAGAAGAATGTGTCGACCCAGGGTTCTTCCCAGTAGAACCTTGGATCTAAGAAGCTAAGGGCACAACATCCCAGTTACCTATTTCCCATATAGCTGGAGGAAACCTCTGGTTTTAGAAAGAGGCCAGTTGCATGTTATATAGGTTCAGTTTAGGCAATACCTTCCTATAAAGGACCAAATTAGGTATCTAAAATATTATCAAGGCATTCAGAGGTATGTCTATTAACTGAGAAGGTAACATCTAATCCAGGTATCTACCAATAGGGCTCCTCACAGCAGTTTAGAAGCAGGTCCTATAAGTAGCACATTGGGTACTACTGTGTAAATACTAGATGATTTTATAGAAAGTAGGTTAACTGATTTTCCAGCACTTTCTAGTTATGCTGGATTACATGAATCTTTCCGAAAGAAAGAAAGAAAGAAAGAAAGAAAGAAAGAAAGAAAGAAAGAAGAAAGGAAAGAAAGAAAAAGAAAAATAATGAAAGAAATCACCATTTTTTTTAAGGAGTAAATTGCAAGCACCAGCATTGGAGAACCGACCAGCTTTCCCCATTTAGAACTTTATTACATAGTTTTTACTTCTTTCATTTCTGAAGGGAGTCGTGGAGTGGAAAGGGAGGTGGGGAAGGAGACTGGCATTTCTTGCAGTGAATACGATGAAGGTCAAAAGCTGTAGAGATGAAGGCATGGGAAAGATCACTGGCTCAGGTTTTTTTTTTTTAAACCACAAAGTTGTTAGCGTTCAGTGACTGACTTTGGCATAAGTATTACAAATATGGTCTAATTATACTGAGCCAGCTATATATCACTACAGATTGCTGATAGCCCTTTGCAGGACATTTTATAAAGTTCAGACTAAATATTTTTAGCAATGTGGAGATTTAAAAGCAAAAATATAAGAGATATTGTATATGCCCTAAGGCATATTTTGTCTTAAATATTATCCTTGGCCAACTGTACTATATAAATACAGTAAATATGAATAGAACTGGCCAGGTGCCAATCTCCTGGGATGAATTTTAGTCAAGAAGGTATGTATAGGATATAAATAATACTGTGTCAACATTTAAAGAAGGGCTCTGATTAGTTTTGAATTTATTCATATTAATCTTTTCACATGCTGTTAGTTTAAGGCTCAAAGTAGAGTTATGCTAAGGTTTACCCATAGTTTGCACAGAGGGAATAGGGGGACATCTGGTCCTTTTGACAATCCTTTTGAGATTCAAGGCTCATCTATTCAAAAGATATTGCAAAAGGCTTGAGAGACTCAGAAAGATTGCTCCAAATACAATAGGCTTCTTCATGTTTTTAAACTACTAACAATAAAAATATAACCTAAGGGCTTGGTAAATCAAAAACGTCTAAAACCTTTTTTTTCCTCTTTCCTCTTCTCTGATGCCTCCTTCCCTTTAATTGTAACAATCTCTTCATTTCTTATGTTGCTTTATTATAGTATAATACGGCACAATTCTTCCTTTACATTCATTTCAGATTACTGACTTTTAAAAGTTATCTTTTGTTGGTAGTAATTGTAATTAATACCTTATACATGTATATTTCTTTGCTATTTTTGAAGCATTTTCACCTGTTTTTTTTTTCTGATTCTTTTAACAACCCTGTAAAGCAGGCTGTACAGGTATGATTACCCCCATTTTACAGATGAATAATGAGAATCAGAGAAGTTAAGTCACTTGCCTAAGTCACACAGCAAACAAGTAGCAGACTTTTGCCAGAAAGAACTTTGTTCCTTTGGCTCCTTATGCTACCTTCTTTATACTAAGCCATGATGCCTTTTAAAATGCAGTTGTGCACAAAAAATACTTTAGAAATTGAATAAAAGGATCATTAGAAAGCCATCTTAGGTAAATGGGAGACTCTGAATTCTTTTTATGTAGCATGTTTTATTCTTGGGATCTTTACTTACCAAGGCCCTTTCCCATTCATTCAGTTTCACTGATGATCTCCTCTTAGGGAGTCTCAGTCAGCATCCATGTCATGTTAGTCAATTTTGGGAGGGAAAATGAAGACATGTCTTAGATTTTACTTGTACAGAAAACAAGCAGTTCATGCAAATGCAGAGTGAACACGGCCAAGCTAGGCACTGAAGAAAGTAAGTCAGTCATCACTTGGCTAATTCTATCATGTTGAATTGGATGGACTAAACTATACAGTCTGAAAAATCACAATGAAATTTCCTTTGTTATTGTTTCACATGAATTTTAAACATTTCCTCTTAGAAGTTCCCCTGCCTCTAATCTTTCCCAGTGACACTGTGGAATGCAGAGTGAGTGTCAATAATGTGGTAGGTTTAGGGAGTGGAGCTGAGCATTCTGTTTAGGAATACTGCTTTCTACATATAAATCGACCCTCTACTGGCCAACTGCCCAATGAAAGAAAACATTACTGACTGGACACAGAAGTATTTTTGGCTTTATCTCCAAGGCGTTGATTTTTCAGGAATTCGGAATAATTACTGGTATGCAATTGGCAAAAACTTCTCTCCTCCCCTTCATATATTGCATCATGACTCTGTGTTGTTACTTCCGTGCAGCCCACTCTTGATGGGCTTTAGTTTAGGTCACTACTGACTCAGGATCAGGATTTCTTCTCTTTCTCTCCTTCTCTTTTTTTCCCTTTCTCCTTCTCTCTTCCTCCCTTTCCCTCTCTCCCCTCTCTCTTGTTCTTCTGTTCTCTCTCTCTCTGTTTCTCCTCCTCTCTCTGTTTCTCTGTCTCTCCCTCTCCTCTTTCACTTCATCCAAAGATGAAATGCATATTTAAAATAAACATAATACTTTGAAACTGAAATAATGAGACATTTTGCAGTGAGGCATTAGGGAGGCTGACTGACTTGGCATGCTCTCCAGCTTACAGTAGGGGCTTTGAAGTCTGAAGACCTAGGTTTGAATCCTGATTACTTTCTCATTACCTATGTCCTTGGGTTACTCCCTTAACCTCATTTGGCCTAAATTTCCTCATCTATAAAATGAGGGAGTTGGATGAAATGAGTTTTAAGGTTCCACCTGGATC